TCTGAGGCGAAGGAAGCAAAAAGATGCAAGCATCGTGCATAGATAAAATGCTGTATAGGATGTAGTAGAGTTCATTTTCATAAACTACGCTGTAATGTGTCTAAGAGGCGCGCGCCACAACAGTCCTCATTTTGTTCTCCAGCTAACGCGACTCGTATACAGAGGGAAAACATGTAATCAAAAAAGCTTTCTGCGAGTGGGAAATTAATAATTACACTGAATGATAAATAATACCGTTTAATTTGAACAGTTTTCAAGTTTCTGAGACCCGTTAAAAGATATTTAGAGTAAATGACCATTACAGCAGCGCTGTTATTTGCAGGCAGTTCAATGTGGCTGCGAAGGCCCGTGAATTCTTCTGATCTGCGCTAACTAGGGGTCAAAGTTAACGGAGCGCTCGGATTGAGTTCTCGCGAACTTTAGGCTCCAAGTGTTTGACGAGTTTAGGACACCAGGTGGCTAATGCTGCAAGGTGCGCACATATGCTTGAGCGTTTCCGCTAAAGTGAGGACATCTCAGCTGAAACTTAAGAGAGCCCAACCGAGCAGCCGTTCTTGATCAGCCTTATAGCCGAATTGAGATGCTTGAGTCGACTTGAGATTTGCAGCCGATCTGAAAGTTAGGCCGAATCGAAAAACATCTAGCCCCAAACCGATAGCGAATCCAAAATGAAAACTCCAGCCGAACTGGGCTTCAAGCCGAATCGGAACGCTTAGCGGGTCGAAACTTTTAATCGGATCGAGGCTTCGGCCGAATGGAGACTTTTTGAGCCGAACCGATACGTTACAGACCCAGCCGCGCGGAGGCCGGCAGCGATGAATGGGGCCAGCCGCGCACAGGCCATCAAAAGCGGCCAAGATGGCGGCTGTTCCGGCGGCGAAAAGGAAAGCTTGGGAAGCGGAAAAAACCAGTTGCGGCGCGCCAAGGTCATTTCCTCCACGTAACTCGGCCCAGACAACAACAACAACGGCGACGACTCTCTCGCTGACCGCTTCGCCCCAACGAAGGTCCGCTCTCGCTTCTCGCCGCTGCTTCGCCGTCGGCGGAAATCCTGCTCGCGCGTGGCCGCCCCGACATTGGGCTGGCCTGGGCTGTGGCCTGGCTTGGTATGTGGCTTAACATGGGCTGTGGCTTGGCCTGGACTGGACTGTGGCGTTGAAGGTCTGGCCTGTGCCTTGGACCTCTAATTTTAGGTGCCTTCTGTGCGACGTTCACTCCCGAAGAAGCTGGACGCTTATGGAGGCAGTGGCTGTTGGAGAAAACCGCATTCCATCGGAGCCACATCGTGTGGCGCAAACCGTCGCCCGATTTAAAGGGTTAAGCAGTATGCACCCATCCATCCATCCGCCCGGATGCAAGGCTCTGACCCTGATAATGCCGACAAAGGCCCTGCATCCGGATGGATGGAAACGACTGTAGCCTGGAAATGGATGGATGTAAAGGCCTGACACAGCCAGACGTCTTGTTGTACTACTAATCTTGGGGCCCGTGATTGGGGCGCTGAGTGTGGACGACAGTGTATAGGCGCTGGACATTTGCGCTGTCCGCCATCAACCACTCGATATCCCGCCGTTCCACTGGTCCTGTGCAGCGGGTCGTCGAGGTGACTTCCGCCATGCGCGCCATCTTGATATGTCTGGCTCGATATATGGACACGTTTCGAGCTAAGTTGTCTCCGAGCATTGAACTGTTTAATGCCGTGACGGCACAATGCTCTCGTCACCTTAGGTTATTTGATCGAAGCATGGCTAGTTATTCCGTCCTCCGATACAGCTGGCGAGAAGCAGTATCGAGCGACACGGGACGTGGCCTTCCGTTGCCGACGCTGGACAATCGTTGTCCCGCCCGTCAATGGTGGGTTACGTGCTTTCGCGCAGTCGACACGAAGTCGACCGAATGTACAACTCAAAACACAATCGACGGTTGAGCGTGGGGACTGGTCAGATCATAATCGCTTTCAGCACAAGGCTCAATCGTCACTCGTCCATCCATCGCGGGGGCTGGCACCGGCAGAAAGGAAAACGCGAACAAATATTAGCACGTGCCGCAGTGGCAAGATGTTCCCTCAGCGCGTGCGAAGGTCGTTCGGAGGGAACTTGTCTGATGGTGCGGCGACCGCTGGAATAGCGAGAGGGCGCGGTGTAGGGACTGCCCTTAGCGAAGACCCCGAGAGGCAAAGCCCGTAGGGCAAGCACCCCTACTAAGAACTTCACAGGAACTAGTTTACGCCTTTAAAGGGGTAGCGCAACGATTTTAGTGTTGAAAGAATGGGCAATTTGTATTTTTTATATTGTTTATCCAAGCACAAGTGAACCAAAAACGCGTCACATTGCCCCGAAAAACTGCTATTCCGGAACGTAATCGCAAAGAAAACGAAATATTTGCCGATCTGCAGCCGCTTGTGGTGGTTAACGAAACTGTTGTGTGACGTACTCTGGGGGATACGTGGAAATGAACAAAACCTGTCCCCCTCCGCTGCTACACTCGCCGTCACCCCCGTGGCGAACCGCCTTTTGTGTCGATCGCTCGTCGCGACCTTCGGCGATGCTAATCCTTTACAAGTCGATAATCGCGGAGGACGCGGCTGGGGTCTCTGAAGAGAGAACCCAAGGGGAATCCACGTGATCCCCCAGAGTACGTCACTCGAAAGGCGACGTGGAGAGTTGAGAGGCACTTTGACCTTCGATTTGTTTCATTTTTTTTTTTTTACACAAAAACTAGCGTTCGCAAGAAAATACAGTTTTCTGTTCCTTGTTCCATGAGGGACACAGAATAATTGGCAAAAGTCTGAAAATCGTTGCACCGAACACAATCTGCATACAGATTCGAACGCGAATCACCGCGAGATCCCTGCTTCGAATGCCGCATGCCAATGAGTTTATTTATTTATTTATTTGTTTATTTATTTATTTATTTAAGTACCCTCAAGGCCCTGGAGCATTACAGAGGGGAGTGGTACAAGATAAATTTGGAACACAAACAATATACAATCACTAAAAGCCAAGCACTAAAAATGTTAAAAAAAAATGTGTGAACAAATCAAGAAATGTATAGAACGAGGCAAACAAACAAAGAAAAAATATTAACATAGGTAAGTAGTCAACGCAATTTTAAACAAGTCAAAGGACGGTATGTTTACTAATTGCGCGGGAAGGCGATTCCACTCTGAAGATGTCCTTGGAGTAAAAGAGTTATAATAGGCTGAGGTAATGCAATGAGGAATTCCGACTTTAAGTTGATGATCTACGCGCGGCGAGATGAAAACAGGATTAAACATTAGTTGTTTTTTTTAGCGAAGTATTGGAATGATACATTTTATAAAAAAGGCACAAACGAGACATTTTTCGGCGTAATGAGAGCAGGAAGTGATAAATTAGTTTTCATAGTTGATACACTAGACGTGCGATGATAGTTAGTAAATATAAAACGGGCACCGCGATTCTGTAGGGCTTCAAGATCAGTCACGGGAGTTGAGAGACCAGGATCCCAGATTGCTGCAGCATAGTCTAGTTTGGAACGGACAAGGGTTTTATACATTAGTAGTTTTAGGGACACTGGGGCTAACCTAAAATTTCTCTTTAGGTAACCAAGCATGGAGTTAGCGTTGGCGAGAATTTGGTCAGTATGAGTTTTCCATGATATGTTAGAAGGGATGTACACCCCAAGGTACTTGTAGCATGGTACAGTTTCAAGAGGAATTTCAAAGATTGAGTAAGTTGAACATATAGTAATTCGACGGGAGATATTCATCGCTTTACATTTGTTAGTATTAAGGGACATTTGCCACAAATCACACCAATCAGCCACAGCTTGTAAGTCATTTTGAAGAAGTTCGATGTCAGTAGTATTAGTGACTTCTCGATAAATTACACAATCATCAGCAAAGAGGCTAATCGATGATGACACAGACAGTGGTAAGTCATTTACGTAAATTAAAAACAACAGGGGCCCCACAACAGACCCTTGCGGTACACCAGAAGTAACAGGTTTCATAGAAGAATTCACATTGTTAGCATGAACGAACTGAGAACGGTGACTGGAAACTCAGGAAACTCGGCACGCGGCATTTGAACTACGGATATTGCGGTGACTCGTGTTTGGAGACGGTCTTTTGTATAATACATGAACAGTGTGTCCCCGGCTTATGGGTGGTGTCCCTAGAACAAGTGTTCAAGAAAAAAAAAGAAAAAAAAAAGAAAGGGGGGGGGGGGGTTCTGTAAGGTTTACATCATCACTGCATTTGTTGCTTGTAAACTTGTTGCTCGTAAAATATATCCTTAGGAGGCTGCTAAGATCACTAGGGGTGTTCCTGTAACACTCTTAGGGCGTTACAGGATCATTTCTCAGTGTGTATGGTGCCTAGAACGTCTCTCCGATTGGTGTGTTTACTGCGTCTTCAAACTTGCTCTCCTTCGACTTTGGCTGATAGCGTCACGGAAGTGTCATGGCGTTGCCTGCCGCCAAATCTGGCGGCAGCACACTGCGGAGACTGATGCGACAGACGCCTGCTCTGCAGCTGCAGGTCGCGCTCCGGCTTGCCAGTTCACGGACGCTTCAGCAATCAGGAGTTGGGACGCCGCGACGACAGCGACACCCGCGTTCGCTCGTATCTTTTTGCCGGAATGTCTACGACCAACCGCCAGGCTCGCGACACCCCACAGCATGGCACGCCGACTTATGTGGCGTCATTTGTCGCCACTCCGGGACACCTCCCGATTCATGGTTGGGATGGGACGGTAAACACACCCGTCGAAGACTCTTTCCGCGGGCACCGTATACACTAAGGAGGACCCCTACAAAACGTCTCTCTATTGAGGGCCTCGATGTGGCTGGCTGCGGAGGCATCCTTAGTAGGCCCCCGAGCGATACCCGCCTCCGAACTTGAAAGCTCTAGTATTATTATTAAAACGAACCGGTCGAAGGTATTCGCATGGAACGTGCGCGCGTTAGGACGACGTCAAAGGAGAGGGAATGATGATGACGTGCTCGGTTGGCGGCAGGTTGTTGCTGCGGCATGGAGGACGCGGTCAGCCTGCTGCATCAGCAGTCGTCGTGGCGGCCCCAGCAGCTCGGCTGGCCCCTCTCCATGACGCTGGGCGAGGTGCACGAGGACACGTTGCTGCCCACGGGACTCGGTAAGTTGTTGAACCGATCGGATTACGCGCCGCAATCCATGGCGGCTTGCACGTGACGTCATCGCTCCGTGCTGGTGTTCACTCTACAGTCGATATCACCGAAAAGGCAAGGCCTGCACCGCCCCCTCCCCTGACGTCATCACTTGTGGATCCAGTGTATCTTGCAGCGCTTGCCGCTTGTGAAACACGGCATTAAAAAAAAAAAAGAGATAGAAGTTGATTCGAGCGTAGTTTCACCCCGTGAATCTGAATATCACGTTCATTTTCCCCGAAGATGTGTAACTAAACGCGAGAAAACGCGAAAAAACCTCGGAGCAGTCGTGACGTCATAAGAGGATCTTTCGGCCGCTAAGCGCGTGTCGCTCGAGGGCCGCCGTGCGTGCAATCGCAAGCTTGCCTGGTATATTTTCCCGCACCAGCACCAGCCGTGACGTCTTTTTCTGTCCTTTATAAAAAAAAAAATAGCAAGAGTGCGCTTGCATAGCTTTGATGGGCACTGAAGATGCGCGAGAGGGTGAGATTCCGAAAACTCCTTTTTTTGTGATGTCACGCTCCGGGAAAGAGGGCGTTTAGCGGTACCTTGAAAATTATATTCTGCAGTCTCCATGCAGCAAATTTTAATAATAATAATAATAATAATTTGGATATTCGAGATTCTGGAGGTCGAATGAAGACGATTTTAGTGTGTTTCCTCAAATACAAAACCGCTTTAGGGTCCCTTTAACGATGACGTTCTGCGCGGGCGTTTTGTCTTCTCTTTGGTGTTTCTACAATGCGCTCTTTCTCGGAAAGTTCTGATGCGGCGATGTTCCGGGAATTTTGACCCGCGCGCTTAATTTCGGCTGCAAGGGTCTGTCACTATTGTACAGGGCGTTTTTTTTTCTTCTTAATCTTTACAGGTTTGTTAAAAAAAAAAAAGCCGCAAAAGCTAGTTACGCGGTTTTGTGGAGGGGGACATAGTAGTGGGGGCAGGAGGAGGAGGAGGAGGAGGAGGAGGAGGAGGAGGAGGAGGAGGAGGAGGAGGAGGAGGAGGAGGAGGAGGAGGAGGGATTTATAACGGTCAGTCGGCGCGATTCCACCCCCTCAGCTGCCCCGTAGGATGGGGTGGAGGGAAGTGGGGCGCGCGTGTGTTGCGATGCTGGGGACCGCGGGCGTAGAGACGCGCTCCGATAAGAAAACTGAGACCTGGAAACGCGCCCAAATGAAGCGTTTTTACGGAACATCGTAAAATGCTTTCCCCCTCGCTATATCTTTCTGAAAAGAGTTTATTTAGGGGTTTTTGATGACGGTCAGCAAGTTTCTAAGTGAAACCTGCTCTCTATTTGCAATCATTAAAAATTTAACTAACAAAATTTACTTAATTACCCGCACCTGCGCAAATCGCATAAATGTAGCTGTCACGTTTTTTTTTAACAGTTTTGTTAAGCTTAAACGAAAAAAAAACAAAAAAAAACACCCTGTATAGGCTGTTGCAAGTTAATAAAGCAGGACAAGCCCCGCCCACTGGCTCTCTGCTCGCTATGATTGGTGGTTGCAAATATGTGGTTTCCTCCTCTCTAGCATTCGCTGTGCCAAAAGCGTGGAGGGGTTCACACTACTCGGGTGGCGTCGGAAGTGGTTGGAATTATGGGCGCCTAAGACTGCGGTATCTCTTACGGATTAATGAATACAAGTGGGACAAAAGCCTCTCCCACAAAGCTCTTTGCTTTCCGTGACAGGTGCTTTCTTTTTTTGCCAGTCGCTTCTTCTCAAGCGTTTTCTCTGCTAAAGTGGAAAGAGAGGGCGGCTCTGTGGGTTAAGCTTGTCCTGTGGGAAGGAATGCATAATGAAAGGGAGTCACCGGTGCCGCCATTACCGAGCGACACTGGCCACTCTGCGAGCGATCGTCCCGCGTCATTTTCACTCGCGCTATCGAAGGCCGAACTTGGTGCTTTAGTCGTCGGTGTCGCCTGGTGGCACCAATCATAAAGACGCAGCCTTTAACGGAAAGCGTCACGCGCACGCGACAAAGCGAACAAGCGCAGTGTAATTTGAAACGCTCTCCCTTGTTGCGCAATGGCTTCTTTGGTGGACAGACGTCGAAAGCCGTATGACCAGTGTTGGGTAAAATACATTAAAGAAGTACCTTGAAGTAAGGTACGAAGTAAATGAGAGGTTATGTACTTCAAGTAAAGTGGTAGGTATACTGGACAGAATGTACTTGAAGTAAAGAACTTGAGGTTAGGATGCGAAGAGAGAGATCTGGGAAGGAAGTATGGAGGAGAAATCAGCTTTAACTATGTATAGGTTACAAAAACAGGAAATAAGGAAAGAAACTGTTTGATCATTCTCGGGGGAGCTCTTTACTGTTTGAGGCCAGAACCGGGGTACTAGGAACGAATACTTGTAGGGCGAAATTCGAAGATATAGAGAGTTTGTTGCATATGTGGAATGGGTAGCGAAACTATGGAACACCTGGTTTTGAGCTGCAAGAGGCTTAAACCTGCCTTCCTGAGGGGAGAACAGACGTAGAGGGGACCCTAGGTTTCGGTGGGAAAGATGGAAGGGTGGATTATAAAAGGGTTGAGGTAACGAAAGGGAGGCTAGAGCTATTGGTGGAGGGAGATTATGGAAAACTGAAATTGGTAAAGCAGCAAGCACAACTGGAGACAGGGAGGACAGAGGAAAATGGGGACTATATCCCGCGTGACTCCGGCCCAAAGTCTCAGCCCTATCTCTCTGTGGGTCTAAGTTTTATAAAGAACCCCAACAAAATTGACCAGAGGAAAATTATAGACTTCCTCGCCGGGGGAGAAGGCTGGGGTGCGTTTTCCTTTTCTTTTTATTTTGAATTTGCCCGATCCCCCAAAGGTCTGCCTGGTGATAGTTGCGGGGATGTAGAGAGAAAGAAATTGGGTATTTAAGTGGAAGAGGAAACCATTTTCTCAGGCTAAGTGGCACAAGCTACTGCTCGTTACAAAGGGCACAGCCAATATCACCGATCCATCCATCCTACCACAAATACAGTGTACTTGCAAAGTAAAGTACAAGTACTTTTTAACACAATGTTTCATGATGCCCTTTCAGTAGTGTTTCTTTTTCTTTTCTTTTTTTTTCCGTTTTTTTTAAATTGGTATGTTTTTTGGGGGACAATCGGAAGTGCCCCAGTTATTTTTTGGAAATGGTGGCGAATATTGGATGAAGTCAAGTGGCCAAAGAGTAGTTGTTTTTCTCTCGCTGACAAACTTTTTAACGCGTTACACTTATAAGGCACTTGTGTCGGTCTTATAGCCTTATAAGGCATTTGTGTCGGTCTTATAGCCGCCATTACTTCACTCAGAGAAATGGCTGGATGACGTCTCGAAAGACGATAGAACGTTTCCGCATAATTATGATATGCCTTTCTTTTTTTTTTTTTTCTTAAGTTGGCGAATTTTATACTTGGCCTCAGAAGTTGTCTAGTGTAGTACAGGGAAAGCCAAGGACGCGAGCGCGTAGTTTTGGAAAGAACTCAATTTCACCGAGTGCATGGAGGCACTGCCCCGATCAATGCACTCGTCCCCGTGCCTTTCTCAGCGCTTTACACAACATATGCAGTGTAGTTATTGCTGTCTGAAAACGACAAAAGGGACGACTTTTGTGAAAGCTCGCTCCTGCAAGCATCCGGCAGCTTGGAGATTTTCTATCGATCTGGCGACAAGACATAAATCCACACCACCACAGAAAAAAAAAGACTGGGCAATTGATGCCGAATACAAGATAAATCTTTGCTTGGCCCGAGTAGCAATTTTTCGTGTCCTTTGTCTAACACTGTCTATAGGGAGCCGCCTTATACCCCGCTACTATGGAAAAAAGGTTTCACGAAATTTTTAAATATACTTTGAAATCGAAAATTGCTTTGCCCAGAAAGTACAAAAAAAAAAAAAAACTTTACGTAAAGTACAGTACATACTCAAAAAAGAATGTACTTCAAATATAGTACAAGTTTTCTAAAACTATTTAAAGTAATACTTTAAGTACAATGTACTTAAAGCGAGTTTTTGAGGACTCGACTGTCGCAGGAAAATCGGAACTCTGCCGCGGTCGTGTGCACCAAATACTCGACCACAGTGCCTTCACTTTGGCCATAGAGATCATACATACTAACTACTTTGGCCCCAGTCAAATGGCGAGCTCCGCGCGTCTGATTTGCAAGGGGTCGCTCCGTCCAACGCCGAGCTCGCGGAGCGGCGAAAATGGGCGAAGGAAGATCGCCTCGAGCTGCTCGAGCGCGTATCGGAACGAGCGTTGGGCGAACGTCACCGCGTTTTTCCCGGACGCTTTCTTTTTGGCGTCGCCGACGGCAAGGAGACAGCGGAGGGCCGGTCGCGCCGGCCTTGAACGCCGGCTACTTCCTCCTGCGTGCAGGAAGTTCCGAGTCGCTCCAAGGTGCGCGCCGGGCGCCGAGAGCTTCCTTCCCCGGGCGTCGCAGCATGAGCACGTGCCTGCTTCTCGCAGGGAACGACCCGCGCCAGTGGAGCAAGCACAATGTGTCCATGTGGCTCGAATGGTGCACCGAGCAGTTTTCCCTGGTGCCCACGGACGCTGACAACTTCCACATGAACGGTGAGTGTGTGTGCTCGCAGCGGTTGCTCTAGAGAACGACCAAGAACCGCAACTGGCAATTGCGTTAAAAAAAGGAAGAAGAAAGAAAGATAACCGAAGAAATAGACGTTGGGAAGGCAGAGATATATCTTGGCCCTTATGAGGGCCGAGATGTTTCGGTGGCGCCCTCTGATGGCTTCTGTTCGTGACGTCACGGCCAGGATTCGTCTCGCCGCGTGACGTCACGAGTTGTGATCCTGGCCACTTGTTGTAATTTAAAAGTGACAAGTTCGATGGTGCTTAAAAAGCACAGTGGAAGCTTGGAATCATTGCACTGCTTTTGAACCAGCACCGTGAAAGTTGACATTGCTCTCATTTCTATGCATGGAAGCAGAATTAATTCTCCTAGAGACGTCAAAGCAACCATTTGACCAATCCTGGAAAGCCGACGACAGCGACGCTTTTGACCATGCATGTTGCCAAAAGTTAAAAATTGCAGGGCAAGCTCTTCTCAGAAAGCCCTCCACTCTTTCCACTTTAGCAGAGCGAATGCTGGAGAGGGCACGAGTGGAGAGGAGGAAACTAGCAATTATCTGACTGGTGGCATAGGTCAAGAAAAGAATAACTATTGTCCCATTCTTTTCCTTCCAATCCGTTTATGGGGAAAGTTTGAGCACCCGGTTGCCAGGCGGTGGATTCTCCTTCACAGAAATCCAGCTGAGCTTTGGAGAATTCAATCAAACCTTAAACATCTACTAGTGCAGCATATATAATGTTTTAAATGTCTGCAACTTTTTCTTAGTATATTACCCAAGCATTTTCGGTAAAACTTACAATTGCTCAGCTCTTGAATGAGCCAGTCAATTCTCTCCAGGTTTGTTTTGTTTGAACAAGAATGTGAAAAAAAAAAAAAAAAAAAAAGACCTGCTAGCTTTTATTGCCCAAAATGAAGGTTATTGAATCCTTGTTTTTCAGAAAGTTCTACTAGACATTCGCTAAAAATATACATACACCTTTGGGAGACTGTATCGATTGTTCCCAGGAAAGACTGGATCACAGCTTTCAGTTTGAGATGAAAGGATAGTATAAAGACATTGTACCACGCGTTTAGCAAGTTCAGCAAGTTTAATAAAGCATTCTTTAGAATTGATGCTTGCTACCTAACGGAGCACCGGCCCAGATCACATAGAGCACGGGTTCTCAAACTGCATTGCAAGGAACTAGTGTTGTACAATTTTCTTCAAAAAACGAAAGCTTGTTAATTCCTTCTCAATATTGGAACAAGTTCCCGTTACAAGTTCTAGTGGCTCGAAAAGAATGGGTTTCCATTACATTTTTAAAATTGGGAAGCATTGTTACGTTAAGTTTACATTTGCACATTTTACTGAAATATTGTGCCGGATAATCCATAGATAAAATAAAGCGAGCAAGTAAAAATAATCAACTTCGAACTATGTATCGAGTCGCCACGATCACATTTGTTTCATTCGTTGTTTCTTTCAACTATCTCTCTGACTCTTCCTGTCCTTTTCAAGTCGGAGGATGAAATAGCCGATAATAGAAGACCTAAATGCCTACCGAATTCGGGTAAATTGCAAAGAAATAGACAAAAAAAAAAAAAAAAAAAAAAAGTTGTTTCTTTTTTTTTTTTTTCAAAAACATAACGAGTTTCTGTTCCAGTTCCGCCAGTGCAAGGAACGTGTTTCAGGAATGTCGTTCTGTACTACATTGCCAGGATCCCAGGTTTACCCCGGAGCGCTCTAATGGGTTCCCCGAACTCCCGAATTTCCTCCAGTCGTCCCTACCCTCAAGCAAAGTGTTTTGCCCATTTGAGCACTATTTTAGCAGATGTGAGCCACCCATTGGCACTAGCATGTGGGCCAGGTAAAACCCGCATCCCTTATTTACATTTCAGGTGTGGATTCAGAGCCAGCCTCAATGGCTAAGGATCCAGGTGCAATATGCAGTGCATTCAATGTTTTCCGAAGATGAACAAAGATTGATTGATTGACCGACCGACTGGCATATAAATGCCTGCGCAGGCAAGGCCCTGTGCCTGCTGTCCAAGGCAGACTTCTTGGAGCGTGCCCCCAAGGCCGGGGACGTGCTCTTCAACGCACTCCAGCTGCTCCTCCACCGGGCACTGCACACGGCCAGGATGCACAACGGTCAGTGCACTGTCCGGGCCGCGGAGAGTCGTCCGTGACCACCCCGTCCATGTCTCCGTGCAGGGGGGGGGCCAGGGTAACGGGGCGGTTCCTCGGTCAACAGTCATCACGCGGGACGTCCAGGGCTTTGGCCAGGTGCTGCTGCAGGACCCGGCCTCTTACAACCAGGTGAAAATCCAAAGATCCATGCACTCGCCGGCCGCGTGTCCGTGACCATCTGCTCGCCGCGTCACATGTGTGGTCCCTTCAATAGATTGTGCACCGCGAACATGCTTGGGCAGTCAAAGCATGGTGGAAGGCATGGAATACGTGCTGGAGGCCAAGCGTTAGAAAGATGTGCTGCCATTCTCACTGTGTCAGTGACTATAGAAGAAAAGTTGAGCCATATGTTTTGGTTGCCTCAAAACGTCAGGCCATGGCAACAGACATTAGTGTTACCAATATCAGTGCTAGGAATTTTTTTTTTTTTTTTGGGAGGGGGGAGGGGGAGGGGGGTAATTTAAGGTGAGTTGGATTTCTGGGGAGACTGAAGCCCCTTAAATCCCCTCTCCTGGCTACCCCACTGACCCAGATTGCCGGCAAGGCTTTACGAAACACAACAAAGCAGCAAAAAACTACTACTGACGAGGGTGGTACCTAATCTTAACTTTATTGCATGAGAGGATACTGGTAGCATTGTTGACACACAATTTGACAGCTTCAACATGTCGCAGCAAAACGAACATGCACAATTTCTTGCCCGCTTTCTTTTTCTGCTCTTGCCCCGCTCTCTTTCTTGTTCTTTCTCCCAGGGCCATTAACGTTAGCACTCACAATCTCGCGGTGTCTCGCTCGTGTCTGTGACCGCTTGATTCCTTCCCCGTCGGCAGTGCCTGCAGGTGTCTCCGCTGCCAGCCGAAGTGGACAGCACGGTGATCCTCAGCCCGGACCCCAGCTCTGGAGGGGAGAGCGGAGAACCCAAGGGGGCGTCCCCCTCACCCCCCTCCTGCCGCCACCGGAGCCCGTCCCCCGCCACGCCCACTTTCGGACCCCGGGGGGGTGTGTCCGCCTTCCCGGGCATGGAGCCCACCCGCCTCCTGCCGCAGGTCAGCTATACCTCCAGCACCGGCTCATTGCCTTTCACCGGGCTTTGGCTGCACGTGCACCGAAGTGAAAGCAGAAAGCTCACATTTACCGTTGCATCTACTGCATTCTTGCCCTGTGACTGACTGCACGGGTAGACTCCGAACGCAAACGCCGAATGCAGGACGTCGGCGTTCGAATGCGTTTGAAGAGTGAGTAGAGGCAAAGGAAGCTAGCTTTCTGTCTACCCACTAATTGGTCCAACCAGAGCTCGATGTTCTGACGTCCCCGCATGCTCTCGTCTTCTCCTCTCCCTCAGTTTCTATTCGTATAGTAGGCGCCTTGACCGAGCGGGTCTGGGACAAAGTCTGAGTTTGTGCGAGGACTGTCGACACAATGCCCTCTCGGTCCGTGCAGGCTACTTCTCCCGTGCCGCAGCAGCCCCTGGCCCTAACCACCCCAGCAGCCCGGGTGGTGGCCGACGCCCCTGGTGACAAAATGAGTGAGTGTGGGGTCACAGGCACGTTCCTGGACGGGACGCTTCTTGCACCATGCTGCGTGCGTGGGCCATAGGTTGGCATGGTTGCCCGTAGAGTGATTGCAATATAGACACTCTTCGAGTAAACTGTTTTCTGTGCACCCTCTTTACAGATATAATACATTGTAGGACCGACTATGTGTAGAAAGACCGATATGAAAAGCTACCGACACCAAGCATGTGACCGCTGTGCATTGATTTTGGCAGGCAGTGTCTTGCCCACCAAATTTTGCCAAATTTATTGACTTTACGTGCACAATTCTTTTGCATATTCTACATACAACACTGTTTTGGTCATGCCTGACCAAAACAGGCTATTTTGCTTTAATTGAAGATTGTTTTTTTTTTGTTTCTAAATAGACTGGAACTCTTCATTCGTCTCGCTGCTCTCATGCCGTTTCCTCGTGCACTCGCCGACTGAGTGACGAGCCACTTGGCCAGCAAGTGTCCTGTCAACTGGTCATGTTTTTGTTTCTTCCTTTTTTTTTAGATTATTTATTTTGAAATTTAGGTATATGCTGCCGGCACTGGTGGATGACGATTTCATCATCTCACAAAGCCCTTTGGCTTGTCAAACATAGCACCTGAGCTACAATTCCAAGATGGATACAGGCTTTTCTTCAGGCCCTCATGATCCTCCCTCCTTTGTCCGCATGTGCGACGTGCGCAGGCGTGCGTCTGCTGTGGGACTTCCTGCAGCAGCTGCTTAACGACCCCGAGCAGAAGTACCGCCACTGCATCACCTGGAAGGACCAGGCCAAGGGGGTCTTCAAGATCACGGACCCCCACCGGCTGGCCAAGCTGTGGGGCATGCAGAAGAACCACCTAAACATGAACTTCGACAAGATGTCCCGGGCCATGCGCTACTACTACCGCGTCAAAATCCTCCAGAAGGAGCCCGGGGAGCGGCTGTGCTACAGGCAAGTACCCCCTCACCTCCCCCTCTTTTCATAGCTGTGTCTCCTAGAAACCCCATAGTGATGGGGTTTCTACGTCGCTTACCGGAGGCCAGTGTTGGGCACAGACTGGGCATGAGTGCCGAGTCAGCGTCCAGCTGGGACTCGAGTCCTCTGTAATTTAGCTCGAGTTCCATCTGAATGCTGATGCAGCGGCCTTGTCCGTTCCGTACGTGCCCAGCGCCAACTTCCAGTAGGAGATATTGAAACCCCATAACTATGGCCTTGTTATCTAGTACATGGGTTCTCAAGCCAGGTCCCCCAAAGTACCCTCATAGGTTCCCCGAGATACCAAATTTTCTCAACTATCCCTGCACCTGAGTGAGCATTGTAGTTGGTACCAGTACAAGTGATATATTTTAGTGGATCTGAGTCGCTCATTGATGCGCAACTATGAATCAGACACTCTCTAGTGCAGCGGTTCTCAAACTTTTGGCCGTCACGGTACTGCCTGACCCACTTAGAGGCCGTTCGGGGGAGCCCCAATGCATTTTGCTGCACCATGGGTCTCGTGTGATGCCATAGGAGGCTCTCGAGGACTCCCTAGGGTCCGTGGACCACAGTTTCAGAACTGCTACCCTAGTATATGCATTACCGTTGACAAGGTCTGCGGGCTTCTCGAGTGCTTCATCGCACCAACGCCGAGATCGGGTGGTGTCCCTTGACCACCGATAAAGTGCGATGGAGATCGATAAGTTTGAGAGTCCCCGATCTAGGAGGCATTGACCGCGGCTGACCGGGCGCCCCTCGTGGTCCTTTCCCCAACCAGGTTCCTCCGCCCACCGACGGAACTGCGCTACTGCAAGCAGCGGTCGCTGCTCGAGCGGACGTCAGAGCGCGTGGAGGACGAAGAGGCCCCAGGGGCCCTGGACATGAGCATCAAGGAGGAGTGCTCATCCCCATCCCACAATGACTGAGCCAGAGTGTGCCTTGCGTGTCCCAGACCCCGATCTCAGCCACCCGCACACCCTCGTGCCTCCACGCCGTGGGGACCACCGCCTGCTCAAACTGCGACGGCGTCTGTCCCTTCCCGACACGCGCTTGGCGCAGTGGGGGAGGGTAGAATCATCACCGGTGCTGCCTTTTTTGTTTATGTAAAGCCGAGCGTAGTATTCGGGAAAGACATAGGACACATTATTTTCGGAGCACGGGTGCGTATACGCCTTTACTCGCCGGATTTTTAAGAGAAAGCGGCGCGCGACTATGAATAAAGACGGCGCGCACCTCGTTTTTAGGGTGCCTTCATACACGCACGCCTCTTGTAGGGTAGTGACGACTGGGCTGTTTAATCGTCCGATGGACCATTTTCGGGAATCGCCGGGTCAAGTGGTTCTGGTACAAAAAGGGCATATGTTCCGGCGAGCGGTTGCACTGCTTCAGCCAAGGGAGCTAGGTCCTTCTCGATCCATTGAGCTGCACTGACCTAAATTGAGCTTTCCCCACGTCCCCTTTGAGCCTATTGTGGCTTTTATTTTTGTGCCCACGTTCGTTCTAAGACACTGCTTTCTGATGTGTGCATTGTTTTATCCTGAGAGTCCTCAAACCTCGTTTTCTGCCAGGTGGCGCCAGTTATTTCTGAAATGGTGGGTTGCATTTTTTAGGTTGTTGCAGAGTGCACATGCTAGTTTCTCGGCCTCCGTTTATAGACCTTTGCATCGCTGATCACCCCGGGCGAAAAAGGCTGAGTCACTGAGCTGTTGAAACATGTGCAGGGTCCGATACACCGCACAACAGAGCAGCAACAGCGCATGCTCGGAAGGCATTCCACAGCCCAGCAGACAATGATGGCAGCGCACAGAAGGAAATTTTTCCAAAGGCCTATCATTTGCACACGTGTTTTAACTGCCCAAACTTCCTACGTTTGCTTGGGCATGTGCTGGTGTCAGTGGAGCATGCCTTTGCCCTGAGACGGGCAGAGGCGGTCTATTCATTTAGTGCTCATGCCTCAAGCCCCGTGTCTCGGGAACTCCAGCATATTCCTGCATTGAGTCGGGAGAGAAGCAGCTCGCTGGCGGGACCGCCAGGGGCAGTCTGTGTCGCCATGTTGTGGAACCTCCTGTGCGTTTTTATGTTCATCTCGAACTCGCCACAATATGTGCCTCTTTTGTCGAATCTGAGGAGGAGCTATTGTTCTGCAGCCTCGCTCGCCATAAACCTCCCATTTCTAATCTAGAAAAAAAAAAAAAAAAAAAAAACGCACAAAGTGCGACATTGGGAACCGCATCAGGAGCTTCCTGTCAGGCGCCGCCGTCTTCAAAGCGTCGCGCTTTGTGTCCCGAAAACCTTATGGAGTATTCACACGAGGGAGAAATCCGCCACTTTCCTCCGCGGATCGCGCATCTCGTGAGACATACGTCATGCCTTTTTGACGCCTCGCGGCGCCGTTCCCCTCCGTGGCGGAGGCGTGGATGCTTCGTTCTGTCAGCACGAAAGCTCCGCAGGTGGGCGGCGGAGCCGAGTACAGAGTTTCCCGGCATCTTGACGTCACGACATCCGTCCGCGGAGTTCTCCTTCGTGTGGATACGCCATAATTAGAAGTAGGGTTGTGCGAATAGTGGTTAGAATCAAATAGTACTGCATCATTCATAGCCTTGACAGCGCAAGGGAAAGCCAAGACGGCCGGTTCCTTTAACACTGCAGAAGCTAGGGATGATGCTGCACCATTTGATTCGATGGAACCATTACTCGCACAACCCTACTCAGCAGCTCAAAGTCTTTTTGAAGCGTCCCCTCGTCTTCCCTTCCTGCGTCTTCTGTTTTAATTTCTTACTATTGCTTACGAAAGCTTTTGGCGACTGGCCAGTCTTGTACACGTTACTAAAAAAAAGTAATCGATTACAATTACTATTACTCTTGGCTAAAAAGTATTCAATTAGATTACTTGATTACTCAACGGCAAAAGTAATTGGACATTACTTAAAGAAGTAATCGTTACTTTTCCGATTACTTTATTGTGTGAAGACACATCTTTAGCGCTCATAACAATGAACTACTTCCAACCTATATTTCACATTTGCACAAGTATTGAAGAAGAAAAACTGGCTCCCTCTTCGTGGTCGTTGCACCTTCACAATGCGGACACAAGCAAAGAATTCGTTTGAAGTCGTTTAATGATTTGGGCGTTCGCCAGTGTGTGTGTGTGTGGGGGGGGGGGGGGGGGGCGGAGGGGGTTCTAGATCTTGTTAAGCTTGAGCAAGGGTTGTCACTCAAAGTTTGCGTCGCTCATTTTATTATTCACATGTGGATGAGCTCGCATGTTATACAAAAGAGCAGCAGCTCCAGGATTTGAAACGAATCATGCGTAGTATCAACATTGCTTGGCACAAAGACCGCGTAGGGGAAATGGGGAAATATTTCAACTGCCTTTGTTATATTTTGCATCCGCTTTAGGCATTCTTCGGTTCTGGTTCTCCTACGGGCTGCGAGTAGGTACCCTAAGCAGGATTTTTTTTATTTTTTTATTTCTGTGTGTGTGTGCGTGGGGGCTAGTTTGAACGAAGGACTCACAAAGCTACATTCTGCTTCCTCAAACTTCGCCCTCAATGGCCTTTGTCATGCACTGTGGCTTTCCTGGGTCTTCCCACTCCCAGTCCCAGCTCGAAAAAAAAAAAACAGACATTCCACAGAAACTGTACATAGAAAGAGATTGACCTCGTTTTCTAAAGCTCCGCAAAAATCTTTATTTTTTCCATTCGAAAAAAAAACGCAAATTTTATTTTTGTCATTTCATAAAAAAAAAGGCGTGTGCCGGGGGGGTCCCGTGGACAAATTGTAACGGTTACAAGTAATTTTATTACTTCAAAAAGTAATCAGATTACTCTTGTGATTACTTCCTAATAAAAGTAATCAACTGATTACAAAATTACTCCAAAAAGTAATCGATTACAAGTAATTTGATTACTTGTAATGCGTACGGTACAAGTCTGCGACTGGCCAACTCCCGCACTTTCCGCTGTGCCAAGCCACGCGCATCCGGACGCTCGCAAAGTTTTAGTTAACCTAAAAATGCAAATGAGTTAGTGCTAACCGTGTTTTGCAGCCCAACATTGCCGCAGTCTGCGTCCTAGCTGGTTCATGTGGTCTGTATACTTGTGAAATAAGCACCCTGCCTTCGCAACATCGAACATACACATGCACGCGACTAAAGCCAGAGCCTTCCAGAGGCTATGCACAAGCACACAGAAATTATTTACCCCTTCGAACGAGCGCTCGCGCGGTCAAATCGCGCTCTCCTAACAGAACCTCTCGGGCTGACAACACCGAGATAGATGCTTTCGAGGTTTTCAACTGAGACTTGGTGTGAAACAAGAGACTCGCATCCTGTTTTCGAAGCATTGGTGGATTCAGAGCTGGGGTCCGGACGTCCTGACTCCCCCCCCCCCCCCCCCCCCCTCTTGATTTCTGCATGTGTAAACATTTAGGGCGTGGAAACGAGGGGGGGGAGGTGGTCTTTAATATCTACGATACGCTGACAACCACACCTAACCCCCCCCCCCCCCCCCCTCCTGGAAATACCTGCGTCCGCCCCTGCTTTGAAGCACGTGGGTCACCTGTGGCAGAGTTGTTATTAAATTATTAAAGCCCTATCCTAATAATGAAATCAGACGTCCAAGCAATCGTAGGAATAAAGCAGCGTGGGGTGTCCAGACTGGCTCTGTAGGAGCACATGGTAAGGCATCAGATGACGGGCATTAGATGGATGTCCTTTGAAGCAACGAGCATGGTGAGTTTTCAGTTTTTTTTTAAAGCAAACTACAAAACTTGCCAACATATATTGGCTATGGTATGGAGGCAGATCTGAGATCAAGGAGCTCACCAAACATATGCCGGTTGACATGGGCGTACCAACCGGGGGGGCAAGGCAATACCTCCTAGGAGGTATTGGGCAAGGCATGTGTTTCGCCCCCCCCCCCCCCCCCTAAAACAGCCGCCACTGGGCAGGGCAAACACTGGCCGGCGACGCCCACGGTATACCAAGAGGACCGTCCCCCCCCCCCCCCCCCCCCCCCCATTCAAAACCAAGTTGGTACGCCACTGCCGATCGAACACTCAAACTGTGCCTTATGTCATGGGTGCGCTAAGCTCAGTGGCGTAGCCAGGGGTTGGGGGGGGGGGGGGGGCGGGCATAAGGGACTTCAGCAACCGCCCCCCCCTCCATTTCCCCAAAATAATTCCTGGCTCCAATCCAAATCCAATGGCTACGCCTCTGGCTGGGTGTTCTATGCTGGTGGCAGCCGAAGAACTGCTTCAGGACTGTAGCACTAAATAAAGCAGCCCGAGCAGGAAAGGCCGCCCGTTCAAGGCCAAAACATCGACTGGTCTGGGGACAGCACTGAAATTTTGCCCGCAGGCTGGGCGATCTATGCTTTTCGTCACCACCTCGCATTGCTGTGCGTAAAACTACTAGGGCATGGGGCTACTAAAATCGTGAGTTATTGAATGGTCCATTCGGAATGCCTATACTGTCGAGACTGGTTATAAACTGGTTATAACCAGTCTCGACAGTACACTTTTCCAGCGGCAGTCTCGAACGAAGCGATTTAAAGTGGGCGTCCCTGGCTTTGAGAGTACGTCAGTGTTGCCCAACTGCGCTGAGCTGTGGAATTTTGCGTCAGTGGTATGTGGCAGCCTGCGAGGCGCAATTCCGGACGCTAGTGGCGGCTAAATTGCCCAGTTTTTTTTTTTTTTTTTCCTTTTTTGTTCTATGGCGAATAGGATTTCTCGAATGCATTGCATTATTTTTGGGAACGAAAACAAACAAATGAAAGCTATTTTTGGTGAGTCTGTGCGCGATGGAGCAAATGCAACAGGATTGTTTGTTTCATTTTTTGTTTCGGCACCATACACTCATTCGTGTCCATCTGGAAAGGTCTTAACTGTCGGAAATATCTGATCACACAAGATAGCCCAACTGCACGGGCATTTCCCGCTCACAGCATGAAATTCGACGAGTCACATCAATCGAACAGCACGTATTGTACGTACCCGACGATGCCGCGTTATCCAAACAGGATTTGAGAAAGGTTTCAAATAGCATATCAGTGCCTACGATAGCCGCTTCATGACGACCGGGCGGAATTCGGCTCGTTTCGTGGCACGTTTTGGGAGAGGTGCTTTTTTGCATGCTCCTAAGCAAACGAACCATACCCCGACCCGACCCTATCAGCTATTTTTCGCGAAGACCGGGAACACAGTCGGGAAGGCTTTTCGGAGATTATATCAGCGGAAATAATCCTCGAAGAATGACGA